AAAAAACCCCTCAAAAAAAAAAAAAAAAAAAAAAAAAGAGAACCACTATTATGGCAGCCATTGTTAGGATGGAAATGTGTCAAATTTCTTAAGCGTGCTGCATTCCTTAAAAGGTGCAAATCACTGGCCCAGCTGTTGATGGTGCAAATAGTACCATGTTCAGTTCTTGAACCAACCTAAACAAGTCAGGTGCAGATGCCCGCAACTATAATCCTAATAGGCTGAAGCAGGTAGATCAACACCCAGGAAAAGTCAGAAATACCTATCTCTGTTTCTCTTTCTCTTTTTCATAAAGAAAAAAAGAAAAAGATGCAAATCACTGATCTAAACTGGTCTCTATACATAATAAACCCACTTTTTCACTATAAAATTCTACTTTTTATATCATATAATTGTGGATTCTAACCACCCTTGCTTTAGGTATAATGCTATTCCTTTTTTGCAAGTAAGTGAAAACTGTAATGATTATTATCAGTCTTGGAACAGATATGGGCAAGTAAGTCTGCCATCTGACTAGACAAGTCCTGTTGCTCTAGCAAAATACTGGTCATCCATAATAAACCTAAGAGGTCTAAGTCCTCCTGGGCAATTAAATATCCCATATTGCTGAAGTTGTATCCATTTTTTTTTAAGGAGAGATTTTTGTTACAGGATATATGCACTCACCAAAGAGACAGAAAGTAAGAAATCACCCCTGAGAGGGATGGCCACGCCACAATCCCTTCTCTATTCTCCTCTTAGGACTTTGAGCATGCACGCATAGGCACCCAACGTAAGTTTCAAGCTGCCAGGTCCAGGAATCAAACTACGGTCAGGCATCTGGAAGTCTAGTGACATAATCATTATGCCGTCTGCTGGTCCCTCAATTATGTTTTAATTATAATTTGTGATAAGACTCTTGAAAATTATACATCATCTTTGTAAGCATTACAAAAGCAAAATACATAATCATTGAAAATATTCAACAGTACAGGGACCAGCAGGTGGCGTGGTGATTAAGGCAATGGACATTCCCACATGGCCGACCAGGGTTCAAGTCCTGGACCTGGTGGCTTGCTTTCTCACTTCCTCTCTCCCACTCTCACCCTGTCTCTCTCTGGTCAAATTAAAAAATCAATGAATAAATAAAAAATAAAATAAATAATTATTTTTTTAAAAATATTCAACAGTACAAAAGTGTATGATGGGGACCAGCAGATGGCATAATGGTTATGTTGCTGAACTCCCACGTAGTCCACTACAGTTTGAGTCCTGGACCCGGTGGCTTGAAACTCATGCCGGGCATATGTTAATTGCATGCCCAAAATCCCAAAAGAATTATGGAGAAAGGATTGTGGTGTGACAATCCCCTCTGGGGGGAGGGTAATTTTCTGCTTTCTGTCTGTCTGTCTGTCTGTCTCTCTCCAGGGAGCGCACACACCCTAAAGCAAAAATCTCTCTAAAAAAAGTATATGAAGTAATTCATTCCTTTATTACCACAAACTCCCATTTTGAAGGGGTAGCAACTAAAATAATTTGGGATGTATCCTTCTAGACCTCTTCAGAATATATATATATTTTACCCATAATTGCATATATAAATAAGATAAAGTAAGCAACGGAGAAATCTTACTAAGAATTAAGTTCTTCAACTTGCTTTTTACATAAAAGAGCCTTTAAAGTTCAAGTATGCTGGTATACTTGAATTCCTTAATTGCATATACCACAGTATTTTTCATTATTCTTTTACTAACAGGTACTTTTAGACTGCACACTTGTGTTTTTCTGCAGAAGAGTTTAGAAATGAGAATACCGGAGGACCAGCAGATGGCATAATGGCCATGTTGCTGGACTCCCATGTAGTTGACTGCAGTATGTGTCCTGGACCCGGTAGCTTCAACTCACACCAGGCACATGTGCATGCATGCCCAAGATCCCAAAAGGAGAATGGAGGAGAAGGGATTGTGGCTTGGCCATCCCCTCCTGGTGGTGGTGAGGGGTAGGGGTTGGGGGGGGAACGGGTGATTTCTTGTCTTCTGTCTCTTTGTCTCTCTGGTGAGCGCACACACCCTATAGCAAAAACCTCTTAAAAAAAAAAAAAGAAAAGAAACCAGCAGTTAGCATAATGGCTGTGTCGCTGAACTCCCATGTAACCGACCGCAGTTTGAGTCCCAGACTCGGTGGCTTAAACTCATGCTGGGCGCGTGTGCATGCATGTCCAAGATCCTAAGAGGAGAATGGAGGAGAAGGGATTGCGGCATGGCCATCCCCTGGGGAGTGATTTCTCACTTCCTGTTTCTATGTCTCTATCACGAGCGCACGTGCCCTATCGCAAAAAACTCTCTCAAAAAAAAAAAAAAAAAAGCATCCTGCAATGCTGGGGCCACATAGGAAAGTTCCAGGTTCACCTCCTGAGGTCTCCCTATGCACACTGGATGCATGCGCACACAGGCACCTGCCCCCAATCCTTGCTGGCTAAGGCTGGTGGGGATCATGGGGTGAAGACTCTGTTGGGGATGCCTTTCTCTCTCTCTCATGGAAAAGTTTAAATAAATCTTTAAAAGTAAAAGAAGAAAATATATATATTTTATATATATATATAAAAGATCTATTCATGGTACTGAGTAGATACAGGTACAGTCAGTTGGCTGCATGGACTAATGTAGTACACATTTCCATGGTTTGAGTCCCAGGCCCAAGGGTCTGAAAAACATGCCAGGATTATGTGGGTCTGCCCAAAATTCCAAGAGGAGAATGGAAAAGAAGAGACTATGGCATGGCCATCCCCATTTGTGGGTATTTTTCACTTTCCCTCTCTCTCTGTCCCTGTTTCCAAAGAGTACATACATTCTATGGGGAAAAAACATCTAAAAACAAACAAAAAACCCAAATATCTACCCTAAATTTATTTTGAGTAACATCCTTCCCCTAGCATTAGGGATAAATCAATTCAATATTACTGCTTTAGTGAACCATTCAGGATAAACCTGACCTAACCAAGTGTGAGGATGATAAAAGGAGATCTTTGCTAGGATTTCTGGAGAAAAGAACTAGTACAAGCTTGCTCTCCCTTCCTTCATACTCTTTTCCTTTCTTTTACATCCTTCTCTCTCTCCCTTTTCCTTCCTAACTCCTCTCCAAAAGATATAGCAGAGAAGATCAAAACTGTTCACCAGGATGTGGAGGTAAAAAGATAAGAAATCTGTAGGTAAAGCAATGGAAAGGGTGGTACTGAATAGAACCTGAGAAAAAGGGGAAACAGAGCCAAGAGAGAGAGCCTGGAGATATCGGATCCTCTAATCAAAATGCAGCAGCTCCCTGCACTCTTGAGGGATTCATTCCAAGATCCCAATGAATGTCTGAAACTGAGGATAGTACTAAACTTTCTACATACCACATTTTTTCCTATACATACAAATACACGATCAAGTTTATTTTATAAATTAGGTACAGGATGAGATCAGTAACAAAAAATAAGTAAACAGAACAGTTAGGGGCCAGGCAATGGCACAGCATTAATACAATGCTCTGCGAGGCTGAACCACATGAAAAGGTTCTGAGTTTGCTTCCAGAGAGTTCCTTGAACATGCCAAGCACACATGCATCCTTGATCTACCTGAAGCAGGGGGTTGGACACTATTAGGGGTGCCTCTCTCCTCTGATTTTCTGTCTCTCTCATTCATGAAAGAAAAAAATAAATGTACGTAAGTGTGTATGTCTGTGTATAGAAAACAGAACAATTACAAAATTATATCACAATAAAATTTATGTAAAAGTAGTGTTTCTTTCAAAATATTCTATTGGACTAGATTTTAGCCATCTTAGCATATGATTTTTTAAAAAAGTTTTGTCATAAGGTACACATACTAGACAGCGAGAGACAGTGAAAGGGAAAGTGAAAAATCACCTCCTAGGAGAGATGACCATGCCACAATCCCTTCTCCTTCATCCTCATCCTGGGATTCTGGGCACACACACACATGTCCAGCATGACTGTCAAGCCACTAGGTCCAGGACTTGAACCATGGCTGGCCATATGGGAGTCTAGCACCTTAACCACTCATCACCTGCTGGCTCAGCATTTTGTTTTTCCCCTTAATAAATTATCTAACTCAATCTAAGTGTGATAGACAACAAAAATAAATCTCAGAAATATCACATTTACCTGGGTCCAGCACATGGCATACTGGTTATGTTGCTGAACTCCTACATAGTCGACCACAGTTCAAGTACCAGACCCGGAGGCTTAAAACTCACACTCGGCGCATGTGTGTGCGTGACCAAAATCCCAAGAGGAAAATGGAGGAGAAGGGATTATGACATGGCCATCCCCACTGGGGTTGATTTCCCACACTCTGTCATTCTCTCTTTCTGGCACGCACATGTGCCCTATAGCAAAAATCTTTCTCAAAAAAAAGAAAAAGAAAAGGAATATCACATTTATCTAACATTTAGCTGTTAGAACATGTCATTTCTTTTCTAAGAATTGAACAGTAGTTCCAGTGGTTCAATCTGTTAGCCTAAAGTATTGTAAGAATTGGAAAAAAAAAAAATAACTTTAACTTACCTCAGTTGTTTCGCATAGTTCTGTTCAATTTCTATCCTCTCTTTAACAAATTTGGCATATCTTTCCAAGAAGTCAATTCCCCATTGTGTATGTTTGTCTAAGCTGTCGAACTGATCCTAGAAAAGAAAGGTAAAAACACACTGAAAGTCTAAAATTTTATCCACAAATATTTTACCCAGTTTCTGATATTTATACAAAAAAGCAGTGAGGTATTCTATAGAAAGACAGACATAGGCACTTCTGCTGGTCTCCACCCACCTGGCTCTTAAGACCTAGAAATAGGTTACTAAGCATAAATCATGTTACTTTATGCCTGAATGCCTTCACACATGGTTCCCCCTGGTTGCAACATCCTTCTCTAGTCCAACCTTCTTGAAATGAACTCTTACCTCCCTTTGAGTTTCAGCTCAGGCATTATGTCCTCCAGAAAATGGTCTTAACTCTCAGACTATAAATAGTCTCTCTCTAGGTCCTCAAGTTTCCCTAAAATTACCATCTTATTCACTTGCCATGTTTTTGTTTGTTTGGTTTTTGGTTTTTGGTTTTTTCTGCTACAGGGCGCCTGAGTTCACCAGAAAGACAGAGAGAGACAGAGAGATAGAAAGCGAGAAATCATCCCCCAGGGGGGATGGCCACACAGCAATCCCTTCTCCTCCATTCTCCTCTCGGGATCTTGAGCACACACACACACACACGCCTGATGTGAGTTTAAGCCACTGGGTCCAGGACTTGAACCACGGTAGACTACATGGGAGACCAGCGACATAGCCATTACACTAACTGCTGATCCCGCCATGTATTATTCAACTGGGAACTACCCAGGCCTGAAAGCACCAAGCCTGGCATCACAGCAGGCACTGAATAAGGAACTGTTTAGCTGAATAAAGTCAAATGTATCTGAGTTTGATCTGCCATTGACTAGATGTTTGGAAAGTTATCAAGGCTCTTTGAACTTCTTCCCATCTTAAAATGGAAGTAAACATGACACATTATAACAGTGTCATTGTCCTGTAAAGCTCTTTCAGTCCTCAAATATATTATTCTCTTCGACCTGTTCTCAGGAAAACCATCATTTTCCTTCAAGAATAATCTCCAGGGCTGGTGCTGAAGGCTAGTGGTTAAGAGAGTCAGATCCCACATGGCCAAGTGCAATTCGAATCCTTACCCTGATAGCTGAAAACACACCACGTAGTTGTGCATGCATGTCCAAAATCTCAACAGGATACAGAAGGGATTGTGGCATGACCACAGCCCACTGGGGAATGCTTTCTCGCTCTCTAGGTCTGTTTACCCTCTAGAAAGCACACATGCCCTAGGAAATGGGGTGGGGGCAGTTGGAGAGGGAAGGGAGGGGAGAATGGAGAGAGGAAAGAAATCCTAATCAATTGCAAAAATGACCTCATAGAAATAAAGGGGAAGAATGACTACTAGAGGCTGGGAAGCTGGGGGAGGGGAGGCAGGGAGAAGACAGTCATGTTATTTAATGGACATAAAAATTATAGATAAAAGGAAGAATTTCCAGTGCTGTAAAATATAGGAGGGTGAATACAGTTAACAGTAATGTACTGTATGTCATATGACTGCTCATCTACATTCTTTATCATATTTACAAGGCTTCGTAGGATACAGATCCCCATCTGACCTGAAACATTTCAGGTGCACACATGCCCAGTTGTCTACTGGAGGGCTGGGGGAAGCCTTGGGTAGAGCTGGAGGCATGAGGAGACCCTGTAGGGTGTGCCGATCACTTCTTCCTTTCCTTCTCCCCTTTTCTCCCCCCCAATAAAATAAACTTAAAAAGGAGAAAAAAAATTCTAAAAGCAGAAGCAACGGGATAAAGAAAATGTAGTTTATACACAGAACAGACCTTAAAAAGGAGATAAATTCTGACACACGCTACAAAACATGGACATCCTTGAGGACATTACGCTAAGTGAAATAAACCAGTCACAAAAGGACAAATATTGTATGGTTCTACTTACATATAGTACCAACATCAGTAAAAATCAGAGAGTAGTAGAATGGCAGTTGTGGAGGGTGTGAAGTTATTATTTAAGGGGTGTAGTATTTCAGTTTTGCAAGATGAAGATTTCTGGAGATGGATGTTGGTGATAGAAAACAATATGAATATTCTTAATAGCACTGAACTAACTGTACACTTAAAAATGGCTAAGATAGGGACTAGCAGTTGGCGTAAAGGCTATGTCGCTGGACTCCCACGTAGTAGACCACAGTTCAAGTCCCAGAACTGGTGGCTTAAACTCACGCCGGGTGCTTGTGCGTGTGCATGCCCAAAATCCTGAGAGAACGGAGGATAAGGGATTGCGGCATGGCCAATCATTGGGGAGTGATTTCTCACCTCCTGTTTCTCTTTCTCTTTCTCTCTCTCTCTCTCTCTCTCTCTCTCTCTCTCTCTCTCTCTCTCTCTCTCTCTCTCTCTCTCTCTCTCTCTCTCTCTCTCTCCAGTGAGTGCACACGCCCTATAGCAAAAATCTCTCAAAAAATAAAGAAATAAAATTTTTTACAATAAAAAAATGGCTAAGATGGTAAATTTTGTATTACGTATATCTTACTACATCCAAAAAGATTACTTCCCCTGCCACCTCCTCTAAAAATCCCGTGCTTCACCAGTCATTCACTTCTCCCCTACAACCACTCATCTTTTTACTGTGTGACTTTTCATCATCCCTAAAGAAACCCAGTAGGTACCCATTAGGAGTCACTCCTTATTTTCCCTCTCCCCCAACAATAGGAAACCACTAATCTGTCTCTCTACAGATTTGCCTATCCTGGTAAATTTCATATAAATGGAATCCAATATATTGTCACTGATGACTGGCACATCTCAATGAGTATAATGAAGGAAATATAACGGTTGCAGAAACTGAGGGAAGAGGATGACAAGTTATTGTTTAATGGGGGATAAGAAGTTATTGTTTAATGGGTACAGAGTTTCAGTTTGAAAATAGGAAAAAGTTCCAAACGATGCTGGCAATGACTGTGCAACAATATGAACATACTTAATGCCACTGAACTGTACTTAAAATGGCAAAAACGAGAAATTTTGTTACCCACATTTACCACAATTTTTAAAAAGATGCTTCTAAATATGTATCAATAAATTCCATAAAATTTAGTATAGTTCTTGCTGGTTATCACATGACCTTTAACATCACTTAAAAAATCACAAACATCACAGTTTGGATTCTTACTTTTTAAATTATGGCTAAATATGATGGCTTCACATTATCTGATATTACAAGGCACAAAATACACTCAGGGCTTGCAAGCTTCATTACTAACAGTAGCAGATCAATGCCTATATTTCATATAATCATCTCAATAATTTCTAGGGAGAGGCCACCTCTAGTCTACATGATTACAGGAGGGGATTTTTTTCTTTTGCTTTTGCTGTATAGTGCATATATGCTTATCAGAGAGAAAAAGTAAGAAAACACTGCCCCCCATGGGGAGGTAGGGAGGGAGGATAACCACGCCAAAATCCCTTCTCCATTCTCCTCACAGGATTTTTTGGGCATGCATGCAGATGTGTCTGCCATATTTTTCAAGCCACTGGGTTCAGGACTCAAACCAATACAGTTGGCCATGTGGAATCCAGCTGTTTCAACTACCATGCCACCTTGGCTAGCCCAACAAGGGGATTTTTTTTAAGTTTGTGGAAAAATCTAATGTGAATATAAACTTACTTTGGTGCCAAAAAATTTTAAAATCTGGGGATTTTAGTTAGCATAATGGCTATGTCGCTGAACTCCCATGTAGCGGACTGCGGTTGGAGTCCCAGACCGGGTGGCTTAAACTCATGCCATGCACATGTGCGTGCGTGCCCAAGATCCCGAGAGGAGAAGGGACTGCAGAGTGACCATCCCCTCTGGGGGGTGATTTCTCACTTCCTGTCTCTCTCCATCTTTCTGGCGAGCGCGCGTGCCATATCGCAAAAAAAACCTCTCTAAAAAAGAAAAAAAAAATTTTTAAATCTAGGTCAGCAGGTGGCATGGAAGTTAAGGCACTGGATCCCAACATGTCCATTTTCATGGTTCCAGTACTGGATCCACAGCTTGAGAATCACACCAGGCATGTGTGTGTGCATGCCCCAAATCCCAAGAGGACAGTGAAGAAGTGGAGTGGCCATCCACCCTGTTGGGGAGAGGATAAGGATTTCTCACTTCCCCTCTCTCTTTCTCTCTCTCTCTATAGCAACAATAAAAATCAAAATAAAAAAACTTGAAATCCATGCAGATTTTTCATAATACACATTTTCCATGAACTTCTGAAGCCTTCCCCCCACCATCACCATTGCTGTTATATTTCTTTTCTTTGTTAATAAGTCTTGCATTTTTTCCTCAGATTAAGATGAGAAGCATCAGCCTGGCCATTTTTTATCATTTGCCTCTGCTTACATTACAATGTTTATATTTAATCCACATATTCCTTCCTTCCTTTCTTTCTTCAATGAGAGGGAGGAGAGAGAATAAGAAGGCACCCAAAACAGGGTCTTTCCACTGTGATCTGTCCCGCAGTCAGCTTCAGATCATGGGCACACACATATGCCTGGCATACACAAGGCCTCCAGGTGTGACCCTTAAACCTTCCAGCATAGGTAAGTCTCTTATGGCATTGCTTTACCATTATACGACTACCTGTCCCTAATCCATAGTTTCTTTTCGTTTTTGCTATACAGCATGTGTGCTTGTGGTGATGGAGGGGGATAACCTCCCAAGTAGGATGGCCATATCACAATCCCTTTTCTTCCATTCTCCTCTCGGGATTTTGGACACACATGTACACACACCCAGAGTGCTTTTCAAGTAGCCAGGTCTAGAACTCGAACTGTGGAGTGGGCCATGTGGGATCCAGCCACCTTAACCTCCACGGCACCTGCTGACCTGATCCATGGTTTCTTTATAGAAAACTATTTAAGTCCAAGACAATATACTAGGGTCACTTCATATTTTAATTACCAGTTAAGTGTCACACTTTTTTCTTTTCCTTTTTTTTTCTTCTTTTTTAGATAACATATATTAAGTTCTAATATCTCTGATCTTTGCTCCTTGTCTCACTGGATCTAGTGTGCTCTTCTTTGAAGACCCTGCTTCAAATAATGTTCTACCCTTTATCTAATCTATATCAAGTCATTCCTAACCTACTGATAAAGTCTTTTTGCTGCTATTGTTCTCTCTCCCATCTCTAGTACCCATACAGAATTCCAGTTTTCTATTTATCACCTCCCAAATTAAATTAAGAATACATTCCTCCAAATTTACATACAGTCCTACATCTATTTCCAGCTCTTTCAGGATTCACAAAGAAAAATCAAATCTGCTAAAGGATTTGATAATATTATGCAGTGGTTAGGGGAGCTAGATCCCACATGACCAACCAGGAAGTTCAAATCCTAACTCCAGAGACTTGAAAAACATGCTGGTCCATGTGTGTGCACCCAAAGTCCTGACAAAATGGAGATCTGGAAGACCATCACCATGCTCTATAGGGGCTGGAGGGAGAGGATGTGTTCTCTCTCACTCACTCTCTCTCTCTCTGGCAAACACATACGTTCTCTAGCAAATAAACAAATTTAATGTGATTCCTGATTTCTCTAGTATTCAAAATCTTTCATGCTGTAATTCCACTGGATTACACTAGGATTCTAACTACGTTTTTATTCTCCAAATGGCATTTTTAGAGTTTGTTACAATAATAAATACACTAAAGCTCATTGTTATAATACCAAGTACACAAAAGCTCATTTAATCAGAATATTGAGAAAGTATGGTTAGAGTTCATTTTTCAGTTACTGAAAATGAAGTTACAAGCTATAAAATCTATCTGGATATAACTTTATATAATTTTTAAAATTTTTAAATTGACAATAAAAATTATATATAAATGCTGCTTGACTTATGAGGAGGTACGTCCCAATAAACCCATTACAAGTTGAAACTGTAAGTTAAAATGCATTTAATACCCACGATAATTGTAGAGTCAAAAAATCACTAAGTGATAAGTCAGGGAATTATGCATATGAAAACAATTCTTAATTGTTAATGTTGATTTAAAACATTCTTTAACAACAGCACTGTACAGGTAGAAAACTTAAGAAAAGCCCAATAATTGTGTTAAATAGATATGACTAAAGTTTTATTGTACTTTTTAAATAAATTGATCCTAAATAAAAGCCAACTTCAAAGATACCATCATCAGCTTTAAAAGACAGCAAAAAGTAAAATATAGAAGTAGGCTATAAGTGAAACAAAGTCTCTGCTTTGTAATTTCTGTTGGAGAAAAATTTGATTGGGTTGAGTAGAAATACCTTTAAAAGACAAAAATTATGAAATAGGAAATTTTAAGTATTATCAAACAGCCATATTGTAAAAGTTTTCTTTATACCTCAAACAGTAAATTCATAAACTACAAGTAAGAATTTATGTCAAAATAGATTTAATGCTGGAAACCAGCAGTTAGCGTAATGGCTATGTCGTTGGACTCCCATGTAGTTGACCGCCGTTCGAGTCCCGGACCCAGTGGCTTAAAACTCACGCCGGGCACATGTGCGTGCGTGCCCAAGATCCCGAGAGGAGAATGGAGGAGAAGGGATTGTGGCGTGACCATCGCCCCTGGGGGGTGATTTCTCGCTTTCTGTCTCTATGTCTCTCTCTCTGTCTGTCTGTCTGGCGAGAGCACGCACCCTATAGTGAAAACCTCACCCAAAAAAAAAAAAAAGGAAAGAAAAAAATAGATTTAATGCTAATACTTAAAATGCAAAAGAAGCACTCTTTAGTTTTAAGATAAATTTTACATAGTCCATTAAAAAACACATCTGGGTTTTCAACTACAAATATTATTTGCAATATATTGAGAAACGGTACCAATATCACAATCCTAAACATTCAAAGCTGATCTAAATTTTAAAAGGGAGCCAAGAAGTTGATTTAGCAACATTAACATAAATAATAAGAAACAAAGTAAACATAAAAGATTTACACTTGAGAAGTTAAAATAATCAGTTTACAAATGCTTACTTTAAATTTTACTTGAGTTACCTTTAAACAGAACCCAACATAAAAACTATAATCTTGAAGATGTAAAATACGGCAGTTATTAAGCTGGTCTAGTTACTTTGGATCTGATCAAAGAACAAATTTTATTTTACATTGTTATATACCAGTTTCCAAATGATCAAATAGTTTTATTTTTCACAAAAAATTATTTATGGGAGTCAAAGACAAAAAAAGGTTAAAACCAGAAAAGATAACAAAATGCTTAGCACATAAAAGGTACTTAATTACTGGGATCAGCAGTTAGCGTAATGGCTATGTCGCTGGACTCCCATGTAGTTGACCGCCGTTCGAGTCCCGGACCCAGTGGCTTAAAACTCACGGTGGGCGCGTGTGTGTACATGCCCAAGATTCCAAGAGGTGAACAGAGGAGAAGGGATTGCGGCGTGGCCATCCCCTCTGGGGGTGATTTCTCACTTTCTGTCTCTCTGTCTCTCTCTGTCTATCTGGCGAGTGCACGCGCCCTATAGCAAAAACCTCTCCAAAAATAAAATAAGGCACTTAATTACTGTCTGAATAATAATCCTACTTGTATAATAACTTGGAATTTACAAAGTGTTTTCACATATATTACCAGATGTCACCTATAAAGTTTTATTAATAGGTCATTTTACAAATGTGGAAACCAAGTTTCTGAAATAAAGAAATTCAGCCGTTTTGACCAAATCTCATTTTTTCCCTACTACAATACACCATTATTTGGTAAGACTAGCAACTAATGTTGGTTAGTAAATTTTGGTTCCAGGTGCCTGGATTTATAAACAAAAATTGACACTCAGAACATTTAAGCAGCAACCAGGCAATGGCACAAATGTGGACCCACTTGGGAGTGTTCTGAGTTTGCATCCCCAGGCCTTCCTGTTCATGCCTAACACAGATTCCAGCATGGAGATTCTGTTGGGGGTTCTTGTCTAGATCTCTATCATGGAGAAAATAAATGAATAATGCCCATAGATGCCTAGTAGCCAAAATGGGATGTGGCTAAATTATCTCTTCAAGTCATTGTCAGTTATATTTGTATAGCCAAAATGAGTAGCTGCTATGAATAATTACTATTAAATGAGCCAAGGCTTAGTGAAGCTAGACAGCAATGTTCTGTGATGCCTGACCCCAGGGCTAGGTGCTAGGTTCGCATCCTGAGGTCTCCCTACACAGGGGTAGGGAGGTGGAATGCCCTTGATCCAGGCTGATGAAGACTAAAAGTGTGGTACCATCAGGTGGTGTAATAGGTTACATCGCTGAAATCCCATGTATCAAACGTGGTTCAAGTCTGGGACCTGGTGGCTTAAAACGCACACCAAGCACATGCATGGGCACGTGCCCAAATCCGAGAGGAGAATGGAGGAAAAGGGATTACCACATGGCCATCCCCTTGAGGGGTGATCTCTCACTTTCTGTCTCTCTGTCTCTGTGTCTCTGGCAAACGCACGCACCCTATAGCGAAAATCTCTCTTGAAAAAAAAAAGACTAGAAGTGGATCACAGCATGAAGACCATATTGGGAGTGCCTGTCTCTGTTTCTGTCACTCTCTCATTCATAAGTATAAGGAAGAAAGAAACTTTAAAAAAATAAATGCAGTCTTTCACCAAGAGAAAAATATAAGACTGAAAAATTTTACTGGTTACCAGGGAGCTTGGATAAAAGGAACAAAGTCTCAAAGTTAGAAACTGCCCAATTCAAAGACACAGTTTAATGCTTAAACTCTGTTTATGACATCCCTGATAAGTTATTCAGTGTTTCTTTAGTGGTCATATCATTAGTGATCAAAATGTCAGAAAAAAATTAGAGAAGATGACTGGGAAACCAATAAGCTTAACTATCATAATATAAAGTAGAAAGCCCCAAAATTAAAATATAGGAATCATAGTCATGAAGTTGTAGCTCTTCAAAGGTAATACCAGTCAGACTGGTATTACCATCTTCCTATTCCTCAACAACAAATACTCCAGGGTTTGTGGCATGAAAAAGGTCAAGGAAAGAATCAAGACAAACTAAAGAAGCAAAAATAAGCATGATTAAAGTGGAATATTAAGTCATCAAAGAGGCAACTTATCATCACTTCCCTATTCCACCTTCACTGCTTTTATTCTGATTTATTTCAGATTACTCACGAGTCCTTTATCCTGATTTACTTCAGATTACTGACTCCAATTTCTTCATTTCCTTGTCTTAATTATCCTCTCACTTCCTTTTACAAATTATTAATTCCTACCACAGCTTCTGTATGTCCTAATTTAAATCTATCAGCTAATATTTAAACTCAAGAAAGTTGTTATTTTTTTGCTTTATTCAGGCATTCCTCTTTAATTTTGTTAAATGTTTAGGGGTTTCTGTTGTTGTTCTTGTTATTTACCTGGGAATACAGGGCAAATATTCTAAATTAAAGTTGGCATTAGCACCAACTTAAATGTTCCATGCTATGAGGCACAGCTCAAACAAATTTTGTGTTGTCCAGAAGTTCTAACTACATAGTAATGTGTGGTAACAAACACTACATTTGTGTCTGCAGGTGGCATAATGGTTAAGGCACTTCACTCCTACATGGCCACCTATGGTTCAATTCCTACACCCAGCAGCTTGAAAATTACATGTGTGCCTAGAATCCCAAGAGAAGAATGGAGAAGGGATTACGGTGTGGCCATTCCCCCGGAGGGTGATTTCTCACTTACCTTATGTCTCAACCAGTCAACACACACATCCTATGGCAAAAACCATAAATAAATAAATAAATATTACATGTATTCAGTCTTCTTATTATGATCTACACATCTTTGCTGTAATTTAAAATAGCTATTTATTACAAAATGTTTTGGTTTTTTATTTTTGATATCACTATTTAA